CATTAAAAATTGGTGAAAATCGATAGCAAATTTTCATTTGCACTGTTTCCCCATTGCATTCAGTTTAGCGAGAACAATGCATGTTAAAAAAGGTCTTTCTGATTTGTTATTGGAATTCATATTCTAAGAAAATTCCTTAAGATAACATATTCATACCTGAAATGTAATTCTCTGCTTTTCTATCTTTTCAAAATATACGTGTTAGATAATACTATGATTTTTCAGACTGCTAAGAACCACAGCTGGAAGGCTAGGAGGCTGCCACTCTGTTACTAACGAATCCTCTGTTTTCTTAACGTGGACCGTGCACGTGAGTGGCGGTATTCTCAAGAGCAAATCAAGATTCAGCAAAGCTGAAGAAATAAAAGAGAAGTATATGCAACAGGAAAACAAGTTTTAAAAATCTGGAAATTTTCATGCTTATTTTCAGTTAAAGTTGATTGTTGCAACCACAAAATTACCTGGCCGCAGTCTTGATCCCAGGCCTCCAATGTAATCTCTATTAAAAAAAAAAAAAAGTAGTAGTCATTTTAATTGTAGTTTGGCTTCAAAGACTGTAGAAGAAATAAATGTTCCTTGACTCCTTCTCATCTTTCTTCTAAAAGAAGTTTGTCCAAACTCATTAATTTTTGATTGTGCATTCAGCATCTGCTGTGGCACAGCTCCCACCAGAATTTTGAAGGGATTCAAATAAATAAATAAATAGACCAACACATATGAAAAAACATGTATATAAGAACTTCTGATCATCACAACAAGGAAAGTCCTAGCTCTAAGGTGAAGAACAGCAGAAACATGTAAGAACAAACTGCACCCTACAGTGCAATTAAGTGCAGACATTTTCAGTCAGGTCGAAATAATGTGGCCACAAAAATGCAAATACTTTCAGATGAAAAGAATTCTTAAGTTTAAAAGGGCTCTTGTAAGCCACATAAAAGCTGGCTGACTCTACATATCCAAAACAGCATGAATTTTACTTAAAAATAAAAGTAGACTTTTTCCTTTCCCTTCTGATTTTTTAGCCTAGAAGGTGCAAAAAACAGTACACAGGCTTTTGGTACTTAAATCTCTCATTAATCTACTAGATTACACATTATTTTTCATTGGAACGTGTTTAAGTACATTTCAATTAACCTATTTTATGGATGGAAAACAAAGAACAAAACAATTATTGTCTAGTGGACAAAAACAGGTGAAACTACATATAGTAGTAGTAAAACAAAAATAATCATAATAATTAATATTAATCCATCACCAGCACAGCAATACCTAGATAGCAAAAATATAGGCCTAAATGTTCTGGTGCTCAACACTAATAGTGTCCCAACCTGCAGATTTCACTAGCTGAGATAAGCAACAATAAAAGGGTGCGGACAGATGAGGAACTGAAAGAACCAGTATGGTTCAATACTGTCTCCTGATGCATGGTAGCCTCAGCAGTCCTAGCATCTCAACAATTTTTATATACTTTTTTGGCAGTAAGGAAAATAGGAGGTTCAGGAGGGTTATGAAGAAGGATAAGAAGTTAGTTTTGCTGATGGCTGCATGAGGGGCAGATATGTGCTTGCTTCAACACCTAAGCATTAGGAAGCTGCCATTATTGACTCAGGATTTTGGCTGAAAAGTGACAGACTGGATGGTGATATGCTAAGAAGAACTCTGGAAGTAAAAATAAAAGACTGTGTTTTAAGTGACAGAAAAAGCACAAGCAGCAGAAGGATACACACAGAAAATGGCAGGGCTGAAGGTATGGCCACAGAAATTTTCCTTGCAGCAGGGTTCTGAATGGGCATTTCAGGGACTAGGATGCATTTATCAAAGCCATAGAAGATGCGGCATACATGATAGCCCTATGAACTTGAGCAAGAGTTTTAATTGTGTATATTGATAGGAGAGGCTATATCTTAGAGATGCCAGCTAGAAAAATTCTGCAACAGGTATATATATCCTGGATGTAAGATCTTAGATGTGCAAGTAAAAGTAGATGCTCAGCTCTCAAACTATTTGTCAGCGTGGGCATTATCTCCTACAATGATCAAAACAGGAGACAATGGGTAGGATTTCAGGTACAGGCAATTGTGACTTTTGTTTCAGTTTTGTAGAATTTAACTGTACAGTCACACAGCCATAAAGGGATCTTACAGAGAAAAGGTAAAATTTAGTATAGATAGAAGACAACACATCTGGCCTATAGAGCTAAATTCATTATTTTAATCAAAGGCAAATAAGTAGATGAATTTGTACATGTGAAGATAAGCTAAAGAAGAAAACAGAGGAGAATCAGTGATAAAGCTACATGCAACATCCAGAGGAAATCAGAAGGACACATCAACTAATATCCTTCAAAAAGGTGCTTAATAATAGTTTCTTAAGAAGGAGAATCAGAAAAGGACAAGTCAAAAGACTCTGTGATTTCAAGAAGATGAAGATAATGCCAATGCTAAATAGCAGGTCAAGAAAATAAAGAACTATGACTTGGAATAGTTCATTTAAAAGCTTAGTAAGAGTTATTTCAGGTATGTTCCTTGAGTAAAAGCTGAATCAAAACAAGGTCTGTGGAGAAACATGGGAGAGGTTTCAAGGCAGTTGACATAAATGCTCTCCTGATTAAGTTACAGGTGAGAGGGAGGAAAAATTTGATCTGAAGTCAGATGGAGCCCAGGGCGATTTTGTTTTTTACATGGGAAAGAAAAGCAGGAATGAAGATAGAAGAGCGAATCTATGAGGAAGAGTGATACCAAAGACAGAAAGTAAGGGGTGGTAAAGAATATGTTAGATGCACATCTGAATTAATGACAGAAGAAAAGGAAAGCACTTTAGAAGGAGAATGAGGATGGTGATGTCATATTTTGTTGTGTTTTGTCTCCTTTTTGGAAGAACTGAGCAGGACTTCAGAATTCCTAAAATAGATATCTAAGTTTATGTAGGAGGTCTAGAGCAGTTCAAAGGTATAAGATATTACTCTACACTACCAAATACACAAATCTATTTTTCTATGGAGAAATAACTGCTTAAAAATGCAAAAACAGTATTTAGCTAACCAATTTATGTCAGTTTAAGCTTATGTAACAGGGCCCACTTTTAAAATTATATCAGTTTGACATAAATCCTTAAATTGTACATATAAAGCTTCTGGGTGAAAACACTCTGAAAGAATATCCTCAAGTAGACTGATTGACAGAGGCTTGGACAAAATGAAGTTGTTACGGCAAGTAAGGAAATTTCACAAGTGTTTCAAACAGGCAATCTTGCAACTGTTCTGTCCACTGGAATTGACCATAATGACAGTCATTTACATAATCTACACTAAAATCACAAATCATACATACCTAATCCGAGGCTGTCTTTCAGAAGTATTAAAACTTGGTTTAATTATGCCTGAAAAAAGGCACAGATGTTATACATCTCTACATTAAAAATAGGATATACATGCATTCTAGTAATTGCAATTTCCCAAACATAGTGTTAAAATAACTTTTAAAAAGCAGTAGTAAATATAAACTTCTAAACACGAGCATTCCGAAAGCGCATTTGAATGTGGAGTTGCATTCTGATGTGTTAAAGAATAGCTTGCATCTTAACTAAAGTCTCAACCATGCACACAGTTTTATTACGTTCTTTCAGAAACTAACATAACACGCTGACCTCATGTCCACAGAACATGTATCTGGATTAGCATTGAAATAACTACCTCAGTTACTGCTACCAATGTAACCACAACAGTGTCCTCAGCTAGATAGAAAGTCCACACAGAGCACTTCTGCTGCCTGATCTAAATCCTGTTGTGCCACAGCTTTACTGCCACCATTCGAATTAGCTAGTTATTTAAACTACTACATATGTAATACCTTACTTTTTAAATCATCTCACTGATTTTAAGACCTAGAGGACAAATATATGGCCAATTCTTGGTCACACACCCAATCAGCAATAAAACTGAACCTAAGCATTTATGACATTTATTGCAGGATGCCTCAAGATGTGAAGGAGTGGTAATATACGACGATACATATTATTTATGCAAATTAGAAAGCATGTCATAAAACATTCCTGTAAAACCATTCCTTTGCCAGTAATTTTTTGTCACATATGAGACCACCATCTCCTACAAATGCTATCTTACTTTGTGCAATAAAGAATAAATGCATGCTTAAATCAAAAGGTATGTCACCTAAATGAAGGTCTGAGTAATAAAACTGGGAAATTCTCCAACATTTTTCCTATATAACTAATACTTTTTAATATAATGCCCTGCGTCTTTGTCTACATTAGGTGTTTTTCCACATCAGTAACATCACAAGCATTATCATAAAACAAGACTAGACGCATCTAATCACTCAAAAACTGGCTAGGAAAAAAGATTATACGCCAAACTTACACTAATTCTCCCACTGTTAGTATAGTTACAATAATTATATTTAGTTCTAGAGCAAGAGTGGAGGACTTTCAGAGACAGTCCAGCCTTTAGAAATGAGTATATTTTGGAGAACATTAAATCTAATTGTGCACTGAAATAGTTTTTCAACTTTTTAGAGATTCTCTGACTTGAATGAAAGGATCTTGAAGAAAAGTGGCATCAGCCACATGAAAGTCACTTATAAAACTATAGGAAATGATACATCTTTTATTAGGCCAGTTCTGTCTGGAGAAAGAGAGAAAGGGGGAGAAGTAGGGGGGTAGGGAGAAGGAAGGAGAGAGCAAAAGAGAGTGAGGGAAAGACAGAGCGAAAGAGCAAGAGAGAGAGAGGGGTGGGGAAAGAGAGAAGGAAAAAGACAAAGAGAGCATGTGAGAGGGAGATCATGTGAGAGGGAGAGAACACAGAAATAATGCTTGTATATTTTATTCCTTGCTAGTGTTCTGCTTAGCAAAAAAGGCACTTAAGCTCTGTAGCCAAAAAGAAGGATGCAGACACAGTAATACAAATACAAAAGTAGAAGCTCTGGCTGAACCTGAATCATGTTACTTGGGATAAGAATTTTGAGTTACAACCTCAGGCACTCTGTTCTGACAAAGAATGCAATCTGTTTAGGGAATATATGGGAGAAAAAAATCTGTAACTAAAAGCACTTGGTTAGAGAGCTAAGTTTGAACATAGCTGTTTGCTAGAATTTTAAAAACAGCTACTCCTCTTCAAGTATGTATATACGAAATTGGATCTGAAATACTATAACCTTTGGCTATTTCAAATAAATGATCTTAGTCTTTCTATCAGGAAAGAGCTCATATCCAAATTTTCTTGATTGGTTAGAAGATGACTCACCACATTTGACTTGCAAATCTGCTTGCTTATGAGTATATTTACAACTGCATAATATTTCACACCAAAGAGGCTGTCTCACCAGTCACTCTGCCAGTACATGGCAGAGATGTAATAAGGGTTATTTTCTGACTTATATGGTAAGATTAGGAAAATGCTTATTAATTCTAAAAAAAAAGAAATACCACCTTCATACTCTCTATATAATTCATTAAGCTTTCGGTAGTGCGCATGTATTAGAATGGTTCATCTGCTTGCATTTAAAGCACTGAAGGTAGGCGTTGTACAAAAACAAAAATCTATTTAAGTATTAACAATGAAGCAATTACCTCTAGTAGAAAGGCTGTTAATTAATATTAGTGCTTACACTGATACGAAAAAGACAAAACAATCACAAGGTGCTGATTTTTCTTGGGAAAATCTTCTGGTGTCAAGTTGGCATGAGGTTATTGAGAAGTGATGTGCATTAATGAATTTAAAATGTAGATACTGGAAATAATTTTGCTTTTATAAAGTAATGAAAACGATTCTTTCCTAAATGAAATATGATTAAAATTAAAGAATAGAATCAACAGGAAACTACAATTTTGTCTAATGGTATATTTTACAAAAACAAGTATTTTAATGCGTTTCAGGAGCAATACTTATGACAGGGCATTGTCCTGATTGCAGTGTAAATGGATATGCCTTAAGGAAACAAAAAGTCATTTCCAAAAAGTGCTCCCAGACAGACACTTAACATCTAAATTATCTCTCATCCAGCTGATTGACAATATGCAAAACTGTATTAGCTTTATTGTACTACTACGCTGGACCACTAAAAACCATGTCATATTTTCTTGCTATTTGGTTTAAGTGTCTGCTTTCCCCTTTCTTCAGCATTTCGGCAGGTACAGTTACACTGCTAATTAAAAAAAAACAAATAAAAACCTCTCAAATATGACTAAACTAAGGAGTAGTTGAGAATATCTTCTTGTTTTTAAAATAAGAAAAATAATGCAACTAATAAGCTGTCATCATCCCAGCACTCTTGTTTGCTTTTGGACACAGAGTGTCCTTACTCTTCATCCATCTTCATCCTTTCATTTCCTACTAATGCCTCTATGCATCATGCATATGCAGAACATTGCTCCTGTAGGATTAAAAAAGTCTAGGCTATTTAATATTTTAAGTAAGATAATTTCAGGTAGTGTGAACTACTGTTCCAGAATCTACGTACCCTCCATTTGGCAGCTTTAAGAGTTGTTAAAAGAGTTAGTCTTAAAGAACTATATTGGCTAGACTAAGAACCATACTCCTTTTCTTAAAACAGAATTAAAAAGCATAAGGTATGTAAAATTATAAAAAATATTATGGCAATTAGTGGATTATAATGAAGTTAACCACTACTTCACTGTCATTTACCTGCACACCAGCTGCTGTGCCATTGAACAACACAGCATATCACATCTTTTTACAAAATACCACCCAAGCTTTACATTTGATATCTTTCTACACTCATAGATCATGTTTTCTCTGAAAGGGATGTTGTGATGGCAGCATGAATAGGTAAGCCCTTTTAAGACCCTGATCAATATACCCGTAATTGAAACTCAAATTTTCATGTTAGTTGTTTCCAAGATAATGAGATGAAAGCTCATCACATTTTCTCCTGTCATGCTGACATGCTCAACAAAACCATGGCTGATACTTCATATAGTGTTAGTTATTTACTAGCAATGAATGGGGGACAACCCAAGCAATACCCAAGAACCCCTGAAATCATTGTAATTTTTAAAATTTTTTTCTTTTTCCCTGAAAGGAAAAAAAAAAATGCCAGCATTAATTACAACTGATGTGGAGCACTAACTTCAGCATTAAATAGAAACTATATGTGATCTATGAATGTATGGCTACATAATTATTTTTTTGGAAAGCGACACTGCAGTATCTATACACCAATTAAACTGTATGCTGGGAGGAAAATGTGCAGCCACTTTTGGAAATGCTGATTAAGGCTCATGGGATTAATAGGAACTGATTAGGTCTTTCTGGTTACAAAATTTTATTAAATCAATGGATATCTGGAAAGAAAAATATTTAACTATTAGCAAAAGATGATTTATGTTGATGTCCAAATCTTAATAAAGAAAAATGAACAACAAGGAAATCATTTCCAGTAATGCTTTTGGGGTGGGAAATTATTATCCACACAAATATTTTAATCGTCTCTGTACGATGCTGAACTATGCCAAAATAATTCAATTTCTGGGGGACACGCAATGTGTTATTCTTTAATATAAAAACCAAAACAGAGCAGATCCTCTGCAGGCTGTTATTCCACAAGGGACTCTTTCTATGTAACCTCCTCCCCATATCAGATCGCGCTTCCCTGTATCCTGTAACCTTCTCCTGTCACTCTCTTAGCACTTTACAAGGTTGGTAATAATTCAAGGCTGGCTAGCCTCAGGCCCTCTGGCCTTCATAATGGTAGGCTATCCATTTACAATTAGTAAACGATATTAATGGACCTTAAAGAGAAATATCGAATCATTTATTTGCCCTGCACTAATAGCTAGACAGTTCAATTAAAACCAGTCATATTTCTTTGGTACCTGGGCCAAAATCTGAAGTAAATGCAGGTAGCAAATAGCAATACAAACAGATAAAACTGCTACTCTGTGTTTTTTGAAGCCTGCAATCTTGCAACGCTAAAATTGGTTGATCTTCAGACAGCTACACTCCCTTCCTTCACCTTTTAAAAGGATCGCATGCTTTAAAAAGCATCCACAAATCATCTGTCAGAACTTCATGGGATGAATGGAAATCTCAGATTTTGCTTGGCTCTAACATCAGTCTTTTTCTAACACAGAATGCCCTTAGATTCTCTTCTAATCTAATCAGAACGCCATCCCATTTAACAGGCAGATTTCAGTGGACCACATTTCAACAGGTACCTCATGGTGGTTACAGGTGCTTTACACCTCTTTGCAATTTTCAGATTCAGACTACAATCCAAAAAACTATCACCCAACACAGTGGTGCCTTCCCACCTGATTATTAAAAATAATGAAAGGCAAATCGAATGCTGTATGTCACACACTCCCTTCCTAATTCAAATCTAATCATTAGGCATTCCTTTGCTTCCATTCAGTCAACTCATCCACCCAGCTAAAGCTTGTCTCTTTCCAGTTTCTTCATTACAGCCTCTTATACAGGCCTCCATGTATTCATTACAGCATCACTACTTCTGAGGCAAGTTTTCACACCATCTCCCTCCCGTCTCTTATTAATACCAGTTACCTCATTCCACAAATCTAAAAACACCTTTCTTTTCAAGTTGCCCAGTAATATTCGGGCTGCTCTAGCCATTGCTTCAAAATATAGAGATAAGCTATACAAAGAAAATGTGATGAAAAATGCACATTACCGGAAGACTGGTGCCACCGAGGCACAATTTTAGTTTTCTTTTACTTAGGACCCACAACATATGGTGAACTTGCAATTGATCATAACATACCCTAGTATTTTAGAATAAACTGCTTTACCATTGGAAATCACTGAAGCTCTTCACTTTTAAGGAAACTTACCAAAAGCAGGCTCTTTCAAAGCACTTGAACTGGAGTTGCCTGAGTTGTCTGATATGTCCAGCTCATCATCTAATTCAGAGAACGCATCTGCTCACAAAAATCAAAGCAAAGAAGCTTTTAATCCACCTCTGAGAAGCATAGGAGTACTCTTGATGCTTCTTTTGCTAATGACTACCTTTCTCAGAGTTCTCTAAAGCGCTGTCGTCCTCTGTCAGGAGTTCTTCATAAGTTCTGTCCTCATCTTTTCCACACGTAGATTGAGAGCTGTCAGCTGGGAGGCCTGCGTTTTCTGAAAACTCATGTTTGCAACAGGCTGTTCCACTGCTGTCCTCATCTTTTCCACACGTAGATTGAGAGCTGTCAGCTGGGAGGTCTGCGTTTTCTGAAAACTCACATTTGCAACAGGCTGTTCCACTGCTGCTGCTACGAATATTTGACTTTTCATAACGTTCCTGACAACAAAGAACAAAAAAAAAATGTTACCTTTCCTTATGCCCTGCTCTTACCCAGCACTTATTAGACAACCTGCAAATGAAAGATTCATTTGTGTATACACACACGCAAACCTATAGAAATCAACTTTCAGTTCGCAATTAACTGTTAGTCCTAGACTACACGATATCAGGTCCAGCCACTGATTCTAAATTTAGAGTAAAAACTTTCAAACTCTTCATCTAACCAAATTATTTCTAGCCTTTATGTAGAAAGCATCTTTGTTCTTGATGAAGATCTTTTTCATAATATGTACTGAAAATGAAAAAAGCAAAACAGATGCTAGACCACAAAAGAACAGTGAACAACACAAAAATAAAAGACTGGACAAAGACATAGTGGGTGCACACATAAAAGCACCAGAAGATTTAGTCTCTTCCAGTTTAAATAATTAACAGCAGACAAGAGTTCTGGAGAACAAAAAGTCTGCACAACAATCAATATAGTAGTAAAATATGAAATGAACTTGATGTGATGTGATTCCCTGAAGCTAAGCTGACCAAATGCTGACTGGCATTTCCAAAGCACAGATGAGAAAATCAAAATATGGAATATAAATTATTTGGCTGTCTCAAGTGCCTCATTTGAGTGCTGAATCTTGTCAGTAGCAAGGGGCTCTTTAATGAGCATAAAATTCTGCCTCTCCTGCTATCGCTGTTTATAGCTTTTCTAGAAAGAATAAAGATCCCTGATCCCTATTTTGCCTCTGTTCTAATGCAACATATTTTGGAGGCTGACTGGTTTTCTGATCTCTTTATATATTGTTCCAAATCGTTTCATATTATTGCTGTTGCACGTAAATAAATTCATACTTTGTTTTACTGTATCTTGTCAGAGTACAGTGTGATAAAAGTGAACAGGAGATAAATCATACAAATAGATTAATGATAAAGTAATTTCAGAGGATTATACATTCCTAGATACTTATACTCTTTTAACAGGCATGTCAAAGACTATTCAGCCTGTAACTCAGACACTGTTCTTTCTGAGGTCAGGTACTGGACTGAGCTATGTCAAAGATGTTACAATAGCAGTGACTGCTGCGCAGCATAATACGGCAAGCTCTATGGACATGTGTTTGTGTACACTAAACAGTTAGCGCACAGTTATTGAAGATAAATAATCCCCTGTTCTAAGCCAAAGAAAGCAACATAAAGCAAGAGCAGAATCAAATCGTACTGACAGTATACTCAAAACCTAGAACTTCTTTCAACATTGCCAAAATTAAACCTCACACTCAAATGCCTAAGTCTTTAACAATAACTTGTAAAACAGGTGGAGCAAGACTGGTATTACCAATTGGTGTCAGATCTAACTACCACATCAAGAAAGGAAAGCTGCCTGAAATGCGTGAACTGAGTTCTGCGGATCTTATGATAAAAATGTTCATCAGACCCACCAAAGAAACTCTTCAGAGGTTACTGAAATGTATCCAAAAACAGCCTGCAAAGCTATAACATGTCTATTCATAGAATCAGGTCCATTTACATAATATATGAATACAAAGAACTACAGTATCTCATTATTAATCTGAAAGAGAGCAATATAAATTTACTGTGATGTATTTAGCCATACCAAGACAATAGCTAATAATTTTCAAGAGCTAGATTATATGCTGTTGCTTCTCTTTTGGAAATACTCAGAAAATGCCTAACTGATTTAGAAGGATAAAAGTATGTTGACTGGAGGAGGCTGGGATGTTAGTTCAAGACCACGTCTGCCCAACTTTGGTTTGGGACCAGCAGGGCCTGTGTTTTTACAGGTAAAAAGAATACTGTTTTGTGACCACAGAGTAGAGAAGGTATTCTCCAACACCTTAAAACAACCATTTCCATATACCTGGAGAGATTTCTTTCAGATAGGCAGAAAGATAGATACATATCCTTTGAATAAATATATTAAATAGTAGGATATGAAAAACAAATGCAAACATTTAAACACAGGTTAGATGCATATAACCAATTCATTTAAACTGTGCTCATAACTGATTCCAGAGTCCAGTATTTTACAAATCTTTCTGGAGGTTTCCTCAGTTGAATCAGCTTATTTTCACACTGTCATAATCAGCCAGTGCCTCAGTTTCCCCACAGGTCAGACTGTTCACCAGCTCTGTTAAAACAAACTCTGTCTTCCAGTGTAAATACACACAGTTCTAAAGGAAATATAAGGGAAAAAAAGTCCCTGTGCAAAAATCTTCTCATTAAGAGCCAGTTAAACTTTTTTTTCCCCAAGATTTGTCTTTCTTTATGACTGCAAATGCATCTGTGGCAACATAGAAATCTGTATTCCAACTGAAAAGAAAAGTCTCTGTCTAAGAGATGAGGTGCTCCTTCCATATCCTGTACACTTTCACTATTTCTGTCTTCACTGGTCACCATTATCACTGTAAAATCAGATGTACTTTATTTTTAGATAGGTGAAATCTGTACTGTAAATTGGTCTTTTTCATTTCAATCACGAATCTAATCCTTTACAAATCAAAACTCATACTGCTGAAAAATAAAAAGTAGGTTTAATTAAAACACAGATGTTGCTCTTGTGTTTAGGACTGTTTTGCCATATTTCAGTCCAAAAAAATCAATTTTTCTCTAAGAAATATAGAGTTCTCTAATGGTATTAGGAAACAGTGATTAATTATTCTTCTTTGTTAGAGACAAGTAATTACAGGATTATACTAGTCAATTGAATTTCTATTCCCAGAAAAAAAAAAAACCGTAAGTACTTCCACTACTAATGAACTATTTGAAAAAACATAGAAGATAGCATGAGTAACAGTTAACATGCATTTGCGAGGAACAAAACATGCTAAACCAACTTCTTTCTTTCTGTAACGTGTAAGTAGCTTTTGTGCACTAGGAACAAGTGGATATCATATATATTGGTTTTTACAGTAATCAGTGATTTTTGAGGATGTTTCCCATGACATCTTATCATAGAATCACAGAATGTTTGAAGTTGGAAGGGACCTCTGGAGATCCTCTAGTCCAACCTCCCTGCTCAAGCAGGGACCTCTAGAGCACATTGCCCAGGATCACATCCAGACGCCTTTTGAATATCTCCAGCGAAGGAGACTCCACTACCTCTCTAGGCAACCTGTTCCAGTGCTCTGTCACCCTCACAGGGAAGAAGTTTTTCCTCAGGTTCAGATGGAACTTCCTGTGCTTCATTTTGTGCCCGTTGCCTCTTGTCCTGTCGCTGGGCACCACAGAGAAGAGTTTGGCCCTATCCTCTTGACACCCTCCCTTCAGATAATTGTACACATTGATCAGATCCCCTCTCAGTCTTCTCCAGGCTGAACAGGCCCAGCTCTCTCAGCCTTTCTTCAGAGGAGAGTCCACTGATCATCCTGCTGCACTCTCTCCAGGAGTGTCATGCCTCTCTAGTACTGGGGAGCCCAGAACTGGACGCAGTACTCCAGGGGAGGCCTCAGCAGGGCTGAGGAGAGGGGCAGGATCATCTTCCTCGACCTGCTGGCAACACTCTTCCTGATGCACCCCAGGAGACCATTGGCCTTCTTGGCCGCAAGGGCAACATTGCTGGCTCAGGGGAGAATAACTTATAAGAAAGTTAGGGGGAAAGATGATAAAATCACAATACAGTTGGCTGCACAATTGACTGGAAAAATTGTACTCAACCTGATGGCTACTTTAACCCTTTGTTAAAATAAAAATAGGTGGCGAGCACAATTTTGGAGACTGTACAACCTCCCTGGTCAATCCATTCCAGTGCTCTGTCACCTTCACAGTGAAGAAGTTTTTTCTGAGGTTTAGGTGGAACTTCCTGTGTTTCAGTTTTTGCCCGTTGCCTCTTGTCCTGTTGCTGGGCACCACGGAGAAGAGACTGGCCTCATCCTCTTGACCACCGATCTTGGTCCAAAACTGCTCATGAATTCCAATGATAACTAAAATAATGGAATAGATGGAATGTTAGTGAATTTGCATATATTGAGATATATGCATATCATATATCATATTACAGTATATGTATCATACACAAAGTTATGTAAATACAAGTGGTAATGGATTTAGAAAATTGCTTTGACAAACTAGAGAAACTGTCTGAAACAAAATGATGAAGTTTAACAAGGGAAAAATGCCAAGTTTATGAGTAGAGAGAAACAACTGCAGAAAGATGCAGACTAGGAAATGAATGGTTAGATAGCAGCACTGTAGGAATAGCTATGGGGGTTTTGGTGGATCAGAAACAGAACATGACTTAATGAGATTATGTTGTTACGAAAAGACAAACATCATACTGGGATGTGTAAAGAAGAGAATCATCTCTAAGAGCAATGAAAACCTTCTACTTAGCACCAATAAGTTTCTTCGCTGGAGTAAGTGAGTCCAGTTTTGGACACTACACTTCAAAAAAGATATAAACCAACTGGAAAGAGACCAAAGGAGAGAAATGAGAATAATCAGAGGTCTAAAAGCACAACTTACAAAGTAAGACTAATGGAATTGGATTGTTCAGTCCAAAGGAAAAAAAAAAAAGACAGGAGATAAATAAGAGGAAAGAAATAACTTATGTATTTCTACTGTGGAGAGGACAAAAAGTAACAATAATTAACACTTTTTACTTACTTGCAGTTAGTCACTGTAACAAGTGACACTTAAGTTAGACTTTAAAACCACTTAACAGTAAGGGCTCAACTATTACATTTTTCTGGGATCCTGCAGACATAAATATGTGTCCTTACTATGTAGCAGCCTTGTAGATGCTCAGTAAATCCAGTATTTTGGGGACATGCTGGACTTACCGCTCTCAGAGCAATTGTACAACACTTGATATACACAAAGAGTAGATGTGATAACTTGTGATATCCGGATATGTGATAACCACATATGTGCACATGTCCATCTGATATCTCCTGGAAATATCTCATCCATAACATGGCTGCTGTGTCAGGCATACAAAGTTAGATGAACATTTTCTGAAAGCGTCAGACTAACTGCAGGTATAGCAGCATATTGCACAGTGCATATGTGCTATGGATATGCCCAGGATTTTCAGTTCTCTTCTGACAGTGGTTCAGGCCTCCTCAGAGTTTTCCCAGATAATATTTTTGAATGGGAAAAAAGAGGTCATTCAGACATGTGATAGCTGAAAGTAAAGACAGTTCTGCATTTCTGCTGATTTCAAATTGTCCCCTAACTCGGGATAGTCTGCGTGGGGATAATAGAGACTTTCTATCACTCGACATTTTTAAGAATGTGGTCAAATACCTGCCAGGGGTGATAGGCTCTAAAGCTTGGAGATGGACTAGCTAACCTCTGACATCTCTTCCCAACTTATTTTCTGTGAGTCTATTAAAGTACTCTGACACACTAACAAATTGAAGCTGAGTTAAACAAATAAATGGGTTTGTCCTTAATAGCTGTTCATACATTTTCACAGGTAGTAACTCAGCTGTGATGACTAATTTTCTACATTCAACAATTCTTAAAAAATTACACCTACAAAATAGTTATTGCATAATAATTTTATTCTCTAAATATTCTACAATCTAATTGAAAAAAATACTGTAAATCTAAAAATGTTACTTCTTTTTTCATCACACCAGCAGTAACTTCTACCATTTAAACTTTAATTTAAACTTTAATTCCAGTATCTTCTACTTAAACACCAAAATGGAAAAGTATCAGAACAAAATCAATGGACCGAAAGGTGGAAAAAGAGAACAACTGGTGGGATGCTAAGCCTTCACGACATTCTTGACTCCTTACACTCATTTCAAAAGAAATGAGAATTGTATGCAGCTGTGCACAAACAGGTAGTATCACCAAAAAAAATTATAAAAAGAATATGAATTGCATATGCTAACCTAAAATAAAGATTGGACTATTGCTGTAATATTAATGATGTGCTGCATTCTAAGTGATTTAGAAGCAAACATACTCTTCGCTTCAACAAATACAACAATAGCTGCTGCATTTTTATACAGTTGTTTTAAGAAAACAGATTTTATGTACTAATTGGCTGAATTGAACAAATAAAACATATTTCTAAACACAAAGAAAAGGGAAATTAAAATGGACGTTACATTAATCCAATTTTTGTGTATGTTTCTGAGTTAACAAGAAAAATAAATAGATCAATCCAAATTGAATTGCTTATTAAGCATTACCTTTGTAATGCCAAGTCGTGATTATTAGTAGGGTCAAACTGTCAACAGCACAGAACTGTATTTGGGCACAGAAGAAAATGACTTGATGAAAATACAGTTCAATCACTTTCTGCTCCTTTGCCCTTCAAATAGGTGTAAGCCTGTTCTGTTTTTTTCTATAAATTGGAAGAAACCGATGGCTGCTTTTTATGACAAGAGTTGCCAGTAGCCTGCAGAGTCGTTGGAAAAGTGGAAATTCTTAGACCTTCTGCTTTAATCCTTCCCCCTTTGACCATAAATCCTGTGATGAATACAAAGAAAAGAGTGGGAGGAGAAGCATGGTCTGTATTTACAAGTATTCCTACAAGATTCATCACAAGCACTGCCTATAAGTTCTGACACACTGTTAACCCTGACAGACGCTGGATGTGGAGCCACTCAATGAGATTGCACTATGCTCTATAACAAAAGTTTTACCTACTCTTCCATTACCTAAGCATCTTAGAGAACTGGATTTGAATATATGGATTTAAATATAAAATGTGAATTCAGATGATATTATTAATACAAAAATGAAAATAAGCTTAACTTCCTAAAGAACAGAATAGAATACTATAAAATCCTGCTATATAGAAAGAATGTGATAGAACATGTGTGCCAGATGCACAAATCAAACTTCAGAAGTGGAGATACAGCGGCTACTCTCAGAGATTACTTTAAAAGTGGGCAAACATGACAGACTACTTATATGATCAAAACAGCAGGAGGTACAATGGGCTCAGATTTTGTTATACATTTTTATATATAGACATTGACTATAAAGTTGACTGTTTTCTGTCCCACTTTCAAAATGCGGCAAATCTCAGTATTCATCCTACTATATGATGGCAACTGAACATTTTAAAGGAAAATATACTTTGCAGTACAAATTGAAGGTTTGTTTTTGATATATTGATATTGTAATTTAAAAAATCTGGCATCCAGGAAAAGATTATCCTATTTTATATACCAAGGAGTATGGGAACATACTTGCTTCTCGAGGGCTTCTAAGCATTGTTCCTCAGGTAAAAAACACTTCAGGACATATGCAGTAAGTGACACAATAATGGATGATGATCATGTAATCAAATACATATTTCCACAGTAATACAAGTGACTTATTTTGAGTTTTTTGTAGATAGCCGAAATAATATCCACATTTTTCAAATCTACATACCACAAACAAAGCAATGGAATCCATACTTAGTTACCCACTCATATCTTTAAAGGAAAATATTAAAAATATATTTTCATTTTTAGTTAAAACAACTACTGTTTTAGGACTTGGATTTGGCTTGGAACCCGAAAGACTCAACTTTGTCACTGGTTTGGTTGGTTGGTGACCTTGCACAAACTACCTTTTCCCTCTCCACCTTTTTCCACCCACAGTATGAAAATAAAATATCGATCACCTTGAAATGAAAAGTACTATGTATGAGATAATTATTATTTTGCGCTCTATGTACTCTGTGCTATGTCAGTAAACTTCACCTTTCAGGACTGAACACACTAACTCTATTAAACACTCTTCACTCTTACCTCTATTTCTGTTCTCATATACAGAATAATTCCTGCAGAAAACAATGAAAGATAAGAATTTAGGTGATGAGGTGATAATGATTATTTTTATTAGGGTTACTTTCAAGAGTAGATACTGTACTTCCCTTGCCAGGTGAGGTAACAATACTTTCCCAACACCTGCTATTGACCTGGCCTTCAGATTGCCCAGTTCATTAGTTTCCACACTTCTTTTGACCTTTTTATAAAGCAGATTCCACTCTGGCTCCAAAAGATCTATGCCACATAGTTCCATAAACCAGTACAGAGAGTATGCTCTTTACTTCAAAAACATTCACAACATGACACAACGCGGATGAAAAAGAAGGCCATGATACATACATCTCAGCAGAGAGAATATGAAGTATAAGATAACTGGCTTTAACAGAACATTGAGCTACATGGCAGAAATGCAGTTTTCTGACACTACAGAAAAACGACACATTAGCTGGCTGTGGAATCGCTGGGGACTTGACTAAGATGAACGAGGCTGTCCACACGTCACAGAGTTTTTATTTCAAGAACAGTTGCTTGACATTCTTAATATTTTTAGTCAGAATATTATCTTTTTTCAAAAGTTAAACTTTTCAAGAATTGGTTTTTTTTATTAGAAATCCTCCAACTTCATAAAATTTTCCTGCAGCGCTGAGAAGAAGGAAACAACATGGCTCCTTCTATTTCTAAGCCCTGTAGCACTCTTCTGAAATCTGGGAAATCCTAGTCTGATTTCTTATTCCAGTTGATTTACAGCAAGAATATACAATCAGGTCTCTATACAGAACCATATTCCTTCAACCTCAGTGTTGTTCTGGATCTTTCTCAAACTCTCCTGTTGGACCTGTTTCATTCTACACACATAATAAAATATCTGTTGGGGTGGAACTAGAATTACAGTATTTCTTCCTTCAGAAGACTAGCCATCATCCCCTAAGATATAGAAATGTTTTCCTTCTCTTTTTGAGGATAGGCACATTTTTTAAGTATTTATGCAAAACGGAAGTACTCTAACTTCAAGGTACAGCTCCTGGCTCTATCACATCTTGTAACGGTCTGGAGAGAGCACTCTTCTCTTGAAGAATAATAACTGCACTGAAATCTTAAATCAAGTAGAGTAACAAAATAAATACAGTTCAGCTTTCCATTCATAATAGGTGTTTTTGCAAAGTTGATCGCAGTTATGCATGAGAATGACTATATCAAGATATGAAAAATGTTATACAACCAGCTTTCAAGCGTAGGGTAAGAAAACTCTAAAAATATGTAAAGTAGCTTTTGATATTGGCTTATTTAAGCCATAATCCTATCCTATACTTTACCTCCACCTCCGTAACTCTCACATTTCAAGCCACAATCGTGTGTAGTTCTTGGACTACTAGTTTTAAAAGCTATGCAAGAAAAGTAATTCATTTCTATAAGCCTTATACTGAGTCAGCATGTAAAGACAAAGAAATGATAATCTTTTTCTTAGGGATTCTTCAATACTTCACTACTGAGCCTCGATTAAAAAAAAAAAAGTCTTTCTAAGAGAGATGCAATAGCTGAGCAGACAAGAGTAGCTGTATAAATTTTAACTTTCCTTCATAATTGCCTTAGCAATAGCTTTCACAGTGGACTTCTAACTACGAAAAAACATTGCCCTCCTTTTTTTTAAAATAAAATCTCCAAGATTATATACAAATTTGCTTTATTATGTAAAATGCTGATGTCCTTCAAGAAGAGTGTGTGGCTACTTCACAGCCTGAAGCAAATGAAAAAATTGTAGTATTTCTGCAGAACTGTATCAGACAGTAAGAAAGCCTTAGCAAATACATTATGAGCATCACTGCTCTTTATCTAGCAACCTGTAATTAAAAATTATATTTGTGTAGGCTCCATTTTCTCAATGTATTGTTTGTGAATCACGCAGAAGAGTATCCATTTGTTCCACTCTAAGCAAGTGCACGTTCTCCTGTTCACTAACCGTTCACAAATGTGTGTTAACAATTAGATATTATCAGAGTCTATCAAAACTGCAAGTATCTCCACAATAACGCCATTTTCCAGCACGAGATGATACCAGTTTTTAAGATATTGTTATTTTTCCTGCATGAGCATGTCCACAGAGAATGAACGCATACCTAGTCAAAAATAAATTAAAGAGTCTGCATGGATTTGAAATTGTTCCAAGAGGATATGTTTTTTCATTTTGATTTATTTCCTGCTTTACTGGACTTTATTTTCCCAGATACGGCACACCATGATAAGAAAAAAATGAAGTCTAATACATGTACTTACTTCTGATAAAATCGAAAGCTGACGGTGGTAAGTTACTGCGTTTCGATTAGCCTCCATGAAGTACCTCTGAGTGCGTGTCCTTTCCCGATCCAGTTTCTTCTCCAACATGAGATGGGAGGTGGATAAAATATCCAAATATTTCATCATCACCTCAGACACCAGTGAGGTGACTTCCACTATGTCTGGACGTATCTCTGCATCAGGAGTTAAGCACCTAGAGAAGGAACCTTTCTCTAATGAAATGCAATTACTTATTTTTAGAAATCCATTTACTACCACTTCATTCATTCAATGGTATTTATCAAGTCATGCCAGCTAGCATTTGAGACAAAAAGAGGCTGCAGAAATGGGCTGACAGGAACGCATGAAGTTCGACAAAGGCAAAGTCCTGACACTAAGATGGACTAACCCCATGCAACAGTACTGACTAGGCACCAGCTGGATAGAAAGAAGCCCTGAAGAAAAGAACTAGAGTGTTGATGGACAACAAACTGAACATCAGTCAGTAGCGTGCAGCTGCAGCAAAGAAGGCCAACCACATACTGAGCTCTATTAGCAATAGGGTAGCCAGCAAGATGAGGAAAGTGATTATTCTGCTCTCTACTCAGCATTTGTGAGATCACAAATGAGTGGTTTGTCCAGTTTTGGGCTCCTCACTACTAGAAACACATTGACATACTTGAGCAAGTCCAGTGGAGGACCACTAAGATGGCCAGGGTACTGGAGCATATGACGTACAAGTAAAGGCTGAGACAACTGGGTTTATTCAGTCATAAGATGGGAAGTCTATGGGGAGATCTTATTGCTGTCTACAACCACCTAATGGGAGGGTGTAGAGAAGATGGAGCCAGCCTCTTCTCAGAGGTGCACAGTGATAGGGCAAGAGGCAATAGACACAAGCTGGAACTTGGGAAAGCCCAATTAGATATAAGGATTTTTATTTTAGTTATTTATTTTAATCACAAAAGTGGTTAAGCACTGGAAAAGGGCCCAGAGACATTGTGGAATATCCATCCTTGGATATATTCAGAACTCAACTAGACAAGGCTCTGAGCAGCCTGATCTAACTGGATCTGCTCAGCGCAGGGTTTGGACTAGATGACTGCCACAGGTCTCTTCTAACCTAAATTATTCTATAATTCTATGGTTCCTCTTTCAGGCACCGTAGGTAGCTGTTCAGTAACAACAATAATATATTATTAGGTATATATTTAAATCCTGAGAACGTTTTGGATGTAGGCTAGGACATGAAAGCCAAGGTGGGCAGTTATTCATGTACTATAAATTGTTTTAAATATATTAACTAAAGTAGGCCTGACAATTTACTACAATTTCCCTGCAGAGTACTACTGACCAGCTATCACACACATACACGTAACCCAATACTCTTTTTAAAGGGGTGTCACAAAATGCCTTTCTTATTTCTAAAACAGTACTTTTCAAATAATCATCATCTCTATGTAAAGCAGCAGTTCGGAAAATGTTCTACAGCATTTTAACTTGATGTTAATCTCTTTTTATAGCCAATTGCTCAAGTTCATTATGATTCATCTCTTTATCACAATTGTGTTAATCTGTTTTATTTAAACTTTTAATTTCCTTTAAATAGATGCATTTTTTTTGCCCTAAGAAATGTTCCACTTGATTTTTCTTTTTAATTCTTGACTTTAATCCACTGAAATTAGTCAAAATTTCCAAGAATCATGTGAACTGTAAAAGACTTCTGATAGGTCCTTAATCCATTTCCCATGTGCCTAGAAAGAAATGATTTATGACTAAACACTGAATAAACTGCTGTTCAGTTCTGAATGACTGTGGTGATTATGATTTCAAAACCTTCTTTAGTAGCTTAATTCACTGAAACTAACCTAATATACTGAATGTAAATTTCCAGTTGAAACCTTAAGCTTTTCATGTTTTTCTAATCTTTATCAACAAGAGAAACCAGATTTTTTTTCTATTTATGGCATTCCTCTTTGAATAGGTATTGTGCTTCAGTCATCATTCAGAGATGAACTTCTTCATTTCTTTCCTTTAATGTTCTTCATTTTGTCTAAATGTCTCCTGAAGCATGAGTCAAAACCTAAACATAATATTTCATTTAAGGATTAACCAATAGTAATAGAAGTAACATTTTATGCTTCCCACTGCTACTAAAATAAGCAGGGTAAAGCTTATGTGATAAGAAAATTTAATTTTAATTTTTCCTGTATATATCTATTTAATCAGCTATTTAAACTATGTAGACTGTCAATAAAATGATGAAAAGAGCAGCCAGTCTGATAACGATAGGGGGACCTTTAGTGAACCTCTTTAATACAGCAACAAGATCTATAATTATAAAGGATAACTCAATAGCTGGTCTTCTACCAATCAATCAAATACTTCGTTTTACTGAGTTTATCATCATTATCAAGAATAAAAGGAAGGAAAAGATGGTGCAGGAGAAGAAAGGCCAGATCCTCAGCATAAGTTTACTCAACTTTACTGATAAAGATCAGTTTCAAATTTGCAAGAGAATAAGATACATATCAATTATGATATGATGTGACACGAAGATATTTTCTGAATACAATTGGGATGACTATATTACTCTCAAATGGTAAGCGGTGAATGATTAAAGCCAGTTATTCTACCAAATGCCAATGAAAGAGAATGTGTCACGAATATTATCAAAATTCTATTTTGGAAATATAATTTGTACTGTTTTCCATCTCTTTTTTCAAATAAAATCACACTTAGCTAGTTATAGGTAGCTAATGGAACACAGATTAGAAAGGTACTTACTTTAAAATGCTTTAAAAACAACTACAAATACCTGTAAATATTTAAAACGATTCACTTCTGGATCTTTTAAACTTAAAAGTTAATTCTATTTGCTTCTATCCTCTCCAGTGACCTTTTTCATTTTCAAGGTCTTTAGATAACAGAAATCTTTTTATATAGTAAAAGACAGTAAAGAAATGTTACAGTCTTTGCACAGTAAAGTGTTTTTTAGAGATAGAATTCCACATCTGAGTGAGAAAGAACAAGTATTTTCGTTCTAAGTGGAGTCTTCCTAAAATGGACAATCAAGAGAGCTAAGCCTCTTTAGAAGTGCACCAACTCACACTCTATAATTTGCCTTACATGTTACATTATCACCAGGAAGAAATACGTATTCAAAACAAAGAGAAATATATGATGAATGAGCAGAACAAATATAGTCTCATCTTTTCCCCCATCATTGTGTTATCTCTGCTTTGTTAATAGGTTCAGAAGTAGTGGGAAATGTACTTCTAACAATCAGATATACACACACAATGATGAATTTGATCATACACACACTGTGATCACTATCTATAAATAACATATTGCAATAGAGTTACTTCCTTGACCACAAACTGCACTTGAAAAAGTCTTAAAATGCTGTAATTTTATGAAAAGAAATAATTTTATGTGTAGGGGATTAACTGTAGCAGTAGTAATCTTAAACACTTCAGTATTGTGTACAAAGTCCTACGCATTGGCTAAACATGCTGATTATACTGCCATGTAGTTAGGCTGATCTATACTAACAGTATGTTATCAGCAGGGTGAGTAGATATCACTGTTTTCTTTTAAATCAGAAGACATTTCATATTCAGAGACAAATACTGATGGTTGCTAAAGTCAGTAAATTGTCACATTGTCATTACAGGAAACATAGATAACAAAATACCTTTTGGCAAGATGTCGAAATTAGACGAGATGAGTAATTACCTTTTAATCGTAACTGATACTTTTTCAGAGTATATTCCTTCTGGCACAGGTTCGTACACAGCCCCTACTATCTGAAAAATTAATAACCTAGAGTTAATTGAAAAAAATATATTCCATTATGAATTTTTAAGTCCCCTGTAATAAATACTTTTCCTTGGAACAACTTGATAGGCATTAAATCATCAGCTTTACCTTGCAAAGCAACTTAGAAAACACCATTTAACGGAGAATGTCTCTTCTTACTGGGTATCCATATTAACGTACATAATCACTGTAGAACAAGGGCATGCAACATCTGAGCAAGGGAAATGTCTACAAAAAGCAATGATTTCTTTTCATTGCTGATTATGTTCTAAGGAGCGAGTAATAAACAACCCTATAGCAAATCTAGTACTATGCTACATCAAGAAATTTTTTATATCTAAAACTCCTATCACCAAATGCAATGATAAAAATGTGCTAGCATGAAAAGTAATAATATATTATTATTTGTAAGCTATTTTTGTGATTATGAAAACAAGATAACAATTCATACAATGATAAATAACCCTGCTCATTCACATATCTGAACTAGAGAGCAGTTTGTGCTTCTGTAATCTCGCATGTGAATTCTTGTGGATCTAGTGACCACAGGCAGAAATAACTAGGTAGGTTGATCTAGCAAATCCAAATACCTTAGTTGCCAAGGAGAGCATATTGGTGCTGTAAAATGGTGGGTTCAGAGTTGCCATCTGATAAAGGATGCATCCTGCTGCCCAGACATCAGCCTTCTCTCCATACGGTTCACTCTTTACAACTTCAGGGCTAAATAAAAAAAAGCAATGCAATCCACAAGCGTTTAATTAATAGTTTTCACCTAGAAGTAGGCTGAATTTAAAAAAAAAAAAATCTCCAGTTAGTCACTACAACATATTTTCAGAGCATATCCAATTACTTGCAAAAGGTAGCATTTATTTCCTTTACCTGCTAAATTCTGTAAGTGGAAGTACAATTAATAGCTTTTCCACTTTACAACATTTCTCCTCACAACACTGGTAGTTTAACTGTTTGCTCACTTATGCTTTCCACTCATTTCATTTTATACATCTTTGGAATTACTGGATACAAACGAGCTAGTGCATTCAGAATCTGCTTATGAAAATAGCATTTCAATAAAACGGACTAAAGAATGGTTAAATATATCACAACCTCTTGTAATTCAAATATCAGAAAGGTTTGAATCACATTCCTATATTTAGAACACTGAAGGAGATGATTTTGCTATTAATGTGAAAAAACAAACTGCTCACAATATCATTTTATCCTGTTAAAACTACTGTTATGGACTCGCTGTGCTGACATCCCTGATGATGCTTCATGTACAACCAACAGCCTAATGACTATTAAAAATATATATACTGCAAAGATCCATTTAAAGCAAATGAAAGAAGGCAATAATTTCAGTTGTGACTCAGTATGAGGCAGACTCACTTCCTTAATTTTCTCCGCACCCTTCATAAATTTGGGTGGTAGTAATTTACATTAGTAGGGATAGCCTGATGCTGGACTTCAAGTCTTAGCAGTAAGTACAGGTCATATTACTTGGTGAGTTAGTTTATTCAAATAAAAACAAATAAACAAACAAACAAAGAACACTTCACTCCTTTCATCTGTAAAACCAACTTGAAACCATGCTTATTTTCTTTTTGCTTTCAGCTTAGAAATTGCAACCACAGAATCAACCTTATAACACCGTCATCTTTGGTAAAATACCACATTTTGGAGCTGAGAGGTACTGTATAAATTCATTTACTGATGTGGTCTAGATGAAATATATTGATATAAGGTATGCTGGTATGTACAAAATAAATTCAGAAAATAGGTTTTTAAAAATAAATGGGATGAGGTTCCTTAGATAAAAAGCACCTCAGTAAAACAGTTTATCTTAACAGAACGGGAAGATTATACCTTAGGTCACAGCGTGGGGAAATGAAAGAGACTGACAGGTCAGACATTTCTGATAAAATTGATCAAGCAAGATACAGATTTCTGGGTGAAGTCTATTTAGCAATTCCCCTCGAATTTTGCTGCTGCTGTTACCATGGAGGGAACATAGTATGTTGAACATGATGGTAAAACAGCATACCATTTCTGTAACTGGATCGTCATTATTCCTCACCATGACACCAATTCATATAGGGACTTTGTGGAAATTTCATTTTATGCATTAAATGTGTCTGTTAGAGTGAACATCAGCACGGCAATTTAGCATACAGATGGTAAGCTCAGTAAGGCAAAAGTCCCCATCTTAGTAAGGTTCTAAGTATAGTGATACTCCATAAAAATTAATCTATGACTCGAGTTTTACAACCTTTCCTTCTAGTGACCATTTTCATGGACAAAGAGTTTTAAAGTTACAAATTGCTGTTTTTACTTGACCAAAATATAGGAAAACCACAAGATGAGGTTATTCAAGCCAAATCTATGCAACCCTGCTAAAAGCAGTAAAGCTGCATAAGACTCACTGAAAGAATAAGCTAAAGTCAACGGAGGTATAGAGAAACAGATGCGACCATGACCTGTCCTGCAGAATCTTGTGTTACGGATGATGAATGGAAGGAATTAACCTAACTTGATACTCAGAACAAACAGCAGTCCATTGGGCTGGTGGCTGGGAATGACATATTTATTACTCCAGTGATTTGGAAGACACAGAAAAGCACAGTGCTGATTGATAGCATATTTAAGGGTCTTATTTTTAACAAAGTTTAATACAAATGCATAGTAGCTTAACGTTAATGAAGTAATTTTGTCTATTTATTCATGGTGAAAAATTTCTTGTTCCAAATGCAAACCTAAGCCATTTTCTTTATCAAAAGGAGGACTTGCAGCAGGATCCTTTCTTCCAGAATAAGTGTCCTTAGTCAGAAGTTAGTCTTTGATATTTAGAGTATTAGGATAAGTACTGCTTCACGCTTAAGAGGTACTGTGTATTAATGAAGTAATATTTATCTAACTGCAACAGTTTTATAGAGAATCTAAAATATTATATGATACTATGCTTTCATAGCAAAAAAAATTGTGCAGTTTGCATTTTTAAATAGCATTTCTGAATATTATTTATTTACCCCAAAAAGCGCAAGAGTGAAATCCCTCATCTTGTTCTAAAGGCACATCTGACCATCTGCTAGTGAGAAATGTGGGTGGGGTACAGTACTTGTTGACTAGCAAAACACTTTTGCAATTGAGTTATGTGTTTTGGATCCACACTGTTGAGGGACGCGAAACAGAGAAAGTACCCAGTTTTGTTCCTGTACACTGCTGCCCACAAAACAGCAGGGTGGTGGGAGTACATACAGTCTGTCTAATTCAGTTGACAACAGAGCATAAATTGTCACTGTCTGGTTAAGGCCAGAAAGAATGAGTAGAACCAAACCTTGAATTCTACTCCATAAAAATCCCAGTCTGGGCAACGACTATAGAAAAGTAACTTATAAGGGTACTATTGGTATGATTGCTTTCTGATTTATTTGTAAAGGCACGCTTCTTCCTTTAGTTCTTCGATTAAGAGATCTGAATTGGGTGAAATAAACCAGTGGCACTGATTAAATTCCTAGCAAACAGATGACCACATCATAACAAGCATTCAGAATAAAAGTAAAATATATAAATGAAGAGACTCTAAGAGATGATAAATAATTTAATTTCCATTGCTCCCAGGGTTGATCATACTGACAAGAAGCAGCAGTGTAGATGTTATATTCCATCATATTCACAGTCTTGGAAATTAAAAAAGGCACCAGCTATATCTGGGGTGGGGGTGGGGGGTTGTTTTGTTTTGTTTTGTAAACATTTAGTTCTTTCAGTTAATATATTCATGATTATCACTGCAGTTTTCTCCTAAGTTTACAAATCACTGTTCCTTTCCAAATTACATATTCGAGCTGAAAAAGCTTACATCAGCAGCATTATGTTAACTATAGGAGGGTCCTTCACTGAAGAAATGTCCAGAGCAAAAGCAAGGCTAAATTCTTCTAAGTAAAAGACACAGATATGTATCTATTCCCCAGCATTATTCTGCAAATGCTCAGTATCCTTGAACAGACAGTTTTAAGTGTTTTTCAAAAAGCAGCTCTTGCTCATCATATCAGCACTGCTTTTTTATTTAATAAAGTCTTCTATGCCAAAAAGCCTTAAAATGGTCTTGAGTTTGAATAAGTCATTGATTAATCCAAAGTTTCTGTCTTTTCTTTTGAATTAATTTTGTAAAATTAAAGAGATATTTTTAATAGAGAAAGCAACTTCCCATACTACTCCACTTCTATTTTTTTAAAACAGGATTTAAAAAAAAAAAAATCAAATCTTGTCAAAACGTGTGCTACTTGTAGAACAGTACTATGTTACCAAATCATCTCTAAATGGCCTTGGAGACATTTGTGCAACTGCGCTTTCATTTAGAATTTCACTCACTATGGTATTTTGTCATGATATCTAAGAACTTTAAACTGGGATTTACAGGTAGTCTGTCCAAATTTGGATTCTGCTAAATTAGTACTATCGCACTCCTATATGAAAGATCATTATCCTCACAGGACTAGTTCATGCTCACATTAGTTATCAGTGGATGAATGTTCTATATATGATGGAAGATGTCCTGCATCTTGATAAAGTAAGAGAGAAGGTCAGGAAACAAAATTTGTAAAAAAAAAATAGAACTAATTTTGTAGAGCTTTCAAAGCTTACAAAAATGTTGTCAATGCTATCTGGTTGACTCCACATGGGACACAATCAGTGAATATTTTCCATGCTACAGAGCGCTTCAATAAAGCTCTTTTGAGTTTTCTTGGCATAGTGTTCACTGGTCAGTCCAAGTGCTTACAGGCATAAGAACATGCCTGTGTATGCCATCCTGCAATATGAGGAGTAGCTTCAAATGGAACATGATTTTAGCTGGACAGTTATGGATTAATTAAAATCGGAGTGATTTTTCACACTAACTTCCAGAAAAGGAGTTATCGCTATTGAAGGTAAAGAAATAAGTAAACATAACTGAATGAGATTTTAATAAATGACTAATAGTTATTGCTTTATGGTTTTCATTCTGCAGATGAATTATTTACAACTTGATGGAGATCTCTGCAGATGGTGTTGGTTCTACAAATATTCATGCATAGAAACCATATCTGCTTCAGGAAGCTAACTTAGCTGAAAATATTTGGAGGCCAGAATATCAAATATGTTTATCCCTTTCTTCCTTCTCTTTACACAGCTACTTACTGCCACAGTTGGAGACAAGACAGCAGGAGAGATTGCCTTTCAGTCTGATAATCATTCTTTTGTTTGTGTGTGTGTGTGTGTGTACATGCGCCTGTGTGTGTGCGTGCACATGTGCTTACAACATGTATATGATTTTACTTTTTCACGTTTCCATCATGTTCAGAGTAAAATCAGCAACTTCCACCAAAAAATTTAGTTAATATAGCTGAGACTTTTCATGTATATTACACTACAGTGCACAGTTATTAAAATTTACAGGACTTCATAGACTTATATTTGGAGTATGAAATATGTATTATTCAGTGAGCATAAATGGAAAAACAACTTTGAGGAAGGCTGAGAGCCTATGGTAGATTCTTGTGGACAAGTTTGTCATATACTGTCAATTTCTTTTATCCCCAAACGAGAAAGGACTCTCTGCTGTTTCTATTAAATTTGGCTATGTAGGTAGCTTTATTAAAATTCTTATTATATAATAATCACAGAATGGTTGAGGTTGGAAGGGACCTCTGGAGATCATCTAAGTCCAACCTCCCTGCTCAAGCAGGGACCTCTAGAGCACATTGCCCAGGATCACATCCAGACGCCTTTTGAATATCTCCAGCGAAGGAGACTCCACTACCTCTCTAGGCAACCTGTTCCAGTGCTCTGTCACCCTCACAGGGAAGAAGTTTTTCCTCAGGTTCAGATGGAACTTCCTGTGGTTCAGTTTCTGTCCATTGCCTCTTGTCCTGTTGCTGGGCACCACGAAGAAGAG